TACCACAGGTAGTTTCCCAGCTCAGGTACTTTCTGAAAAATTCACAGAAGCTGCTCATGTGAACTCTCCTTTTGAAAAAATGTGAGCATGATGACATTTTGATTCATCAGGTCTCTTTGGTTTGGAAAAATTGACTAAAATGAAGAAAGGAGTAACTGCTAGTAAGTGACAAAAGAGGGACTTGGGAAGGGGACGTAGTTGGCTTCACTAATAAAACGTAGACTAATGTTGATGTTAAAAAAATCCAAAACATGATTTTAGAATGAGTTAGTAACAATAAGACACTTCTGTTATAATGAAAGTTTTTATTAAGTGTCCCTGTTGTTTTGGTGGGGGCTGTGCTACTCTTAGACAAAACCCCTACCATTCAGCTCATGAAGAACTGCTATGATACCCAGGATATTGTTCTGATATGCTTAGCACTGGCTAGACCTATACAAAAATACTGGATTTTGTTGTAGAATCTTTAACTTTAGAAAAATTTGAAAATCTTGAGGTTTTAAATATAATAGCTAATATCTGTTGAAAATTATGTCCAGACATTATTCTAAATACTTTATTGTCATATCATTTGTTCCTCACAGGAGCCCTGCGAAGTAGGTAGTTGCATTCATAAGAGTCAGGACTCCCAATTTTATGTGCTAAAAGAAAGGGGGAAGTTGGGAGAGTATATGTTGGCTTATGTAGCCAAACTGCCACAAGGCAATGGGCAGAGCTAACTTCATAGAAGACTAGAATCTGAGGTTTGAATAATATCAGGACTTTCTTCTCTATTTTGTTTTTTTTTTTTAGAGACGGAGTGTTGCTCTGTTGCCTAGGCTGAAGTGCAGTGGTGCGATCTTCTTGGCTCATTGCATCCTCCGCCTCCCAGGTTCAAGCAATTCTCCTGCCTCAGCCTCCTAAGTAGCTGGGACTGCAAGCACACGCCACCACGCTTGGCTACTTTTTTTTTTTTGTATTTTAGTAGAGACGGGGTTTCACCATGTTGCTGCCCAGGCTGGTCTTGAACTCCTGAGCTCAGGAAATCCACCCGCCTCGGGCTCCCAAAGTGCTAGGATTACAGGTATAAACCACTGTGTCTGGCCTCTACTTCGTTTTTTAGATAGGTTTCATTCTTGCTAGAGAATCTGTACCTAGAACCTAGTTCTGTCAATAGAGGTACATCTCCAGTGACAGATGCTTAGCAAGTGTTTAGTTAGGTGTGTGTTAAGTGAATGATTTCTTTTCTGCAGAAGAGAGCTGAGTGGGGAGTGTGGGGTCTGCTCAGCTGCGTTATTCGTTGTATAGAGAACAGGAAATACCTGTTCCTCATCAGTTCCATTTTAATGAATCCTGGTGAAAGACTCTGGCTATCACATAATCCCTTTTACCAAAGGATTTTTGACCATTAGCCTCTACAAGAACACAAGGTTTGAAGGAACCCTTCCCAGAACAAGAGGCGCTGTTCTGAGCAAACAACGCAAAGTCTACAATATTCCATTTTAATGATATAGAAATAGAGAGGTTCAGAAAAGGTAAACAAATTGACCAGGGTTACAGATGGGATGTCATAAAGGCCAGATTCAGACTTGATTTATTTATTTTATTTTTTGGGGGGTCGGGGTGGTGATAAATGTTTATTTCCTGGTCATTTCTTTTTTTGAGGCAGTCTTGCTGTCTTGCCCAGGCTGAAGTGCAGTGGCGCCATCTCGGCTCACTGTAAGCGCTGCCTCCTGGGTTCACGCCATTCTCCTGCCTCAGCCTCCCGAGTAGCTGGGACTACAGGCGCCTGCCACCATGCCCGGCTAATTTTTTGGTTTTTTTTTTTAGTAGAGATGGGGTTTCACCATGTTAGCCAGGATGGTGTCGATCTCCTGACCTTGTGATCCGCCTGCTTCGGCCTCCCAAAGTGCTGGGATTACAGGCGTGAGCTGCCGCGCCCGGCCTATTTCCTGGTCATTTCTAAGAAAAGTGGCCACAACTGCAGACCTGAGTTTAATAGACTCTTTGGCTTGTGTTCTTTCCACTTTGCCACCACATCCCATCAGTAAAAGGAGTTCTGTGAAATGAAGGACAGAAATGGGGCAGGGTAGCTTGGCGGGATGAAGTCTTGAGGGAGTGCTTGATCACCTGACACTTCTTCAGTGTGATATTGGGGTTCACAGATGCTAACTTGTTATATGGTCTTGGAACCTCTTAATAACTCCAGATATGAGATAAAAAGAGCTGGAAAAAATTGTTTTTCTTTATGATTTTGGAGAGACAAATATAAAATATGAATCATTTTAGATTATTAAATCATTTAAATAAATATTATTTTGCCATATGGTCTTTCCCACTATTTTTGAAAAACGTATAAGAATAAAAGTTAATAACTATCTGTAGGAACCACTGAAAGTGAATTAGATTGCGCGTGTTTGTAAATACTTGTTAAATAATTGCAACCATTCTTGCTTAGTGATACAAATAGGAGTTGAAAGACTTTATTAAAAAGTAATTTGTCATGAGCCAAAGTCTTTGAAGAAATGCATATAAACATTAGTATTGCTACTGCATTTGGGTTATTGCAAAAGGAGCCCTATATTTAGAACCTGATGATGTTGGAAAGATACTTTAAAATGTTGCCAGGCAAAGAGTGGCCTCAGTTATGTGTTCTAGGAATGTGTTTGATAGCATGTGTTTTATAGGACATGACCCTATAAACAGAAAGCCTACTTTCTGTAGCATGTGAAAGAAATTAGTTTGTATTTGGTAATATACCAAATAGTGTAATAGCTAGAAAAGTTGGTTTCAGCTCTTGAAAAGTCAGTTTCATGAGTCCATGATTTATACAAAGTAACAATTCATTTCTTTTAATATGATAAAAATGAAACATGAAAGGAAGTGAAATTAATTATAGGTACTAAAATAATGAGCTTCATTAGATAAAATTGTCAGTGAATTTTTGGCATATTGTTTAAAAGCAACTAATCTCAGTTCACTTTTTAAAAAATTAGTTATTTCAAGCCAGGGATGGTGGCACATACCTGTAGTCCCAGCTACTCAGGAGGCTGAGGCTGGAGGATGGCTTGAGCCCAAGAGTTGGAGGCCACGTTGACAATATAGTGAGACTCCATTTCTTTTGGGTTTTTTTTTTTTTTTTTT